AAAAAAACAAAAAAACAACGCCCTGGGGATGTAGGTCAATAGTAAAGCACTTCTGGATTCAATCTTCAGCAGTGGAAAAGAAAAGGAAAACTGACAGTACGTTGTGTGGGTTTTCTGTTTGTTTGAGATGGAGTCCCACTACGTTGGCCAGGCCAGTCTTGAACTCCTGAGGTCAAGCAAACCTCCTATATCAATGTGCTGAGTGCCGGAAGGCAGGTGTGCAACACTGGACTGGCTAGAAAAGAGATTGTAAACCATGTTTGGTGGCACATGACTAATTCCAGCAACTCAGGAAACTGAGGTAACATGATCACAAGCTTTAGGCCAGCCTCAGCAATTTAGCAAGACTCAATATCAAAATTAAAAGGCTGGGGATATAGCTTGGTGGTAGAATGTCCCTGGGTTCAACCCCCTGTACTGGGGGAATAAAAGGAAACTGGGAATATAGCTCAGTTGGCAGAGTGCTTGCCTTGCATGCACAGGTGCTGGGGGGTTCAATCCCCAGCACCACCAAAAAGAAAAACAAAAAGTAAATGTTCTCACTACAAGAAAAGTATAATGGGTATGTTGATTTGCTTGAATCAACACAATGTATACATATGAACATCCACCTGTGCTAAATTTTGTCAATTTAGAATTTTTTTTTTCTTTTGGCATTATGGGACAGCCTGGCACATTCAAGACAAGAGCTGTACCACTGAGCACTCCTTAAGATACCCAGCCCTAAATTTCTTAAAAAATGGCCTCCTAAATGTTTCTCTTCATAGTTTTATAGAAATATATAAAAATCACCCTCTTAAAGAGTACAATTCAGTTAGAAAATTTGCATGTACAACTATGTAACTAATCCCACTATTATGTATAACTATTGATCAAAATGGGGAAAGAAAGTATGATTTAAAGTCAGAACATCACTAACACTACCTCATTCCAGAACACTTGCATTATCCCATTAGCAGTCACTTCCCATTCTCCCCTCTTCCCAGGTCCTTGCAACCATTACTTTACTGTATTTGCCTATTCTGGACATTTTCAAGTTTATGGAATATTATGAGGGCTTTTATTTGTCTTCTTTCACTTAACACGTCTTTACTTAATAACATATCTGTATCAAAACATGTATCAGTATGTCTTTTTATGGTAGACTAATATTCCATTATATAGATTTGGACATTTAGATTTCTGATTTGGGGTTAACATGAATAATGGTGTTATGAACTTTCATCCACAATTTTTTTGTGTCTGGGGGCTGTGGGTGAAGCTCAGTGGTAGACAGAGTGCTCAGCATGCATGAGGTCTGCGTAAAATCCCCAGCACCAACAAAAATTTTGTATGTGTCTAGGGGTGTAGCTCAGTGGTAGAGGGCTTTCCATCCCCTGCAGCACATTAAAAAAAAATAATAATAATAACAAAATGTTTTCTGTACTTAGTTCTATTTAAAATTTCAATCCACCCAGAATGTACTGTGGAACAGGATCTATTGCTTTTCTTCCAAACATAACTATTCTGGTTATTTCTCTTAATCCTTAATGTTCCATAATTCCACTGAACAAAATTTGAGTGGTGTTTTAATCATGATTGGCATGTACTGCACTTTCCTAATTTGGTTCCTTTTACAGTGCTGGGGATGAACCCCAGGGCCTTAGACATGGTAGGCAAGTGCTTTACCACCGAACTATACCCTCAGCCCTAAATCTTTCAATCTGAAGACGCTTATTTTTCTCTTTAATTCTAAAACATTGACTTTGTTATTTTCTTCAGTTTCCCTCCCATCATCTCCTGATACATTCATGAGAGAGAACTTTAAGCTCTTTGAAGTGAAAGAAGACATCTTGCCAAGTAATCTGAGTATAGAACCTTCAATTGTCATATTCTACCACACATTTTTTATAGTTGTCGTGTACAAGTGTAACTCAGTATTCACATTTACTATAGCAAATAGTGATTAATGGTCATTAAATGTGTTCAACTTGAGTGAGGTACGGTGGTACATACCTGTAACCCGAGTTACTCAAGAGGTTGAGGCAGGAGGACTCCAAGTTCAAGGCCAGTCTGGGAAAGACTGTCTCCAAAAAATAAAAGGGCTAGGGAATGCAGCTCAGTGGTGGATGGCTTGCCTATCATGAACCATATCTTGGATTCAATCCGAGGACCACTGGGGGTGGGGGGAAGCACTCAGTTTTTCAAGGGAGTTATTTTTCTTTTTATGCTCATTTCATCAATTTATGCAGTACCAAAAGAAATAATGAAACTGTAATAAGTTTCTTATAAGTACAACCAACTCAACTTAAAAAATGGCCTCCTAAATATATAAATCAACTGAAAGGAGTGTGACAGTTATGGTAGAGCCAGCATTTAGCATCCTATTGAACTCAATTATGGCCAATGCTACATAAGTCAGTTAAGGGAATATCTACTGTGCCTTCTGCCCTACACTCTTTCCTATTGCTCTAATAATACTGACTACTCAAGTTTACCACTTATATGTGTTACATTTCTCTCTCTTGTTGTGTTGACTTTTTTCAGATTGATAAGATTGTGAGCTCACCTCTCCTTAGGTACTTGCTGAGGGTAAGGGACTGTGATGGGCCAGTAGCTGTTACTCTGCCCTGAATTACTTTCAGTGGGAGTGGTGATACTTTCCAGGTGTTACAGGGTTGGGGCAAATGTCCTATTTCCTTTCTTAGAATTTTGATTTGATAGCAGTTGTTGTCTTTGTCAAGATGTGGCACAGGTAGCGAGCTTTTACAACTAATCAACCTTTTATTATCGGTCTCCCCTTTCATCTACTCCAGGAAATGACCACCTTCAGTATTTCACCATTTTCCTGCATTGAATTCCTTCTGCCCTTCAAGACTTCCCTTTATTTTCTGTCTTGGGGAAACTTCTGAGTTTCTCATTCACCAAAACTCTCCTCATTTTTGAGCATAAATATATTTTCATAATTTCTATGAAGTGGGTAGGAAGAATAGGTTTCATGTATTTAACTTCATCCTCTAAAACCTGGAACTCTTCTGTGTTTCTGACAAATATTCTTTACCAAGTGAAGGTAAGTGAAGGACATTTCCTTTGATCCTGGTTGTTGCTGGTACTGTCCTGGGGACTGAGCCCAGGGGGCCTTTACCACTGAGGTGCATCCCTCGACATTTTAATTTTTTATTTTGAGACATGGTCTTGCTTAAGTTACTGAGGCTGGCCTCAAAATTGTGATCCTCCTGTCTTACCTTCCCAAACTGCTGGAATTACAGGTGTATACCAGAGTGTCTAGATATTTCTAGTCTTATTAAAGGGTTTTAAAGACCTACTAAGATCTATGATTTTTCTCCTTTAGCCTACTAAAATAATAAGTTACAGTGTCACTAAATGGGTATGGTATTCTGTAAAACTTCCTACTTCCTCAGGTCATGCCACAGCTTTACTATATGCCATATCATATTTGGAAATGTTACATTTATAAAAGTTGATCAGTATTTGTGGGAAAAAGTTATTTTTTTTCAGGTTAAAGTATTATGGTGCTGCTAACCTTTTACTAAGAAAAATAGGTTTCATGTATTTTTTTAAAATTTATGTTTTAGTTGCAGTTGGACACAATACTTTATTTATTTATTTTCATGTGGTGCTGAGGATCGAACCCAGGGCCTCACTGAGCCACAACGCCAGCCCTTCATTTTTATTCTAGGACAGTATAAACAACAGAAATCATTTTTTAAAAGATTTGCTGCCAGACACAGTGGCACAAGCCTGGGATCCCAGTAATTCAGGAGGCAGAGGCAGGTGGATTTTTCAGTTCAAGGCTAAACTCAGTAACTTGGCGAGACACTGTCTCAAAATAAAAAATAAAAAGGGCTGGGTATGTAGCTCAGTGGTAAAGCACTCTTGGATTGAATCCCCAATACCTAAATAAATAAATGATTTATTAACCCTCTACTTTTTATCATAAAAACTCAAACCATTTTTCTCCTTGCTCTTTTAATTTTACACAGATATCTTTCAATATCAAAATATAAATTGAGCTTATTTATAGTGGTGCTGGGAACTGAACTTAACACAAGAGGCACTCCCTCTACCACTTAGCTATACTCTTAGCCCTAAATATAATCTTAAAGGCTTATATGATGCATATCATTTTCTGAATATGCCAAAATTTATGCTTCAATTAAAAACCTGTTGGGCTAGGATTGTGGCTCATCGGTAGAGTGCTCACCTAGCATGGGCGGGACCCAGGTTCGATTCTCAGCACCACATAAAAATAAAGGCATTGTGTTGTGTCCATCTCCAAAAAGGATTCTTTCTCTCTCTCTCTTAAAAAACAAAAATAAAAATAAAACCTGTTGTTTTGGTTGTTTTTGGTTTTTAATTATAAGTTTATATAAGGGGATTACTAACATAATAAATGTAACACCCTTATATAAACATATTAGTACTCTTTTACATCTAAGATAAATTTACGTGCTTGATGTAAACTTTGACAAGAGAAGACATGATGTGGGCTGAGGACTGAGGATACAGCTCAGTAGCTGAGCACCTCAGGTTTAATCCTTGTATCAGGGGGCTTAGAGGGGGAGTGAAACCAGTATATCCTGGTTTGTTGCTACACTCTTAAGAACCAGCATAGTGGCTGGTACACAGAATCTTCTTACATATTAAATAAACAAAATAGGAACATTCTAATAGAAAAACAAACACCGGAAAACCAGGCACAAACAAAAAAATATTCAACACATAAAAAGATGTCCAAGTTAAAAATGCCAAATTAAAACTCATTGTTATAGAAGAAACAACTAAAAATTAATATTAAGTGTTCATTAAGCAGTCAAGGATTCATAAAATAATTTGTGGGACTCTACATAATACTGCAATATAAAAGGTCTCAAGAAAAACATCCAAGTGGTTAAAGGGAAAGCCATGTGTGGGAGGGAAAAACAGGACTCATTATAAGAAAAGTTAATGGACAGCAAGTGTGGGCCAGAGGTTGGGGAGAATAAAGGAAGAGTGCATACCAGAAAGGCAGACTGAAAGCTGTTCATCGTCCACTGGAGATGCTTTTGAGTTGTTCTTCCCCCCTCCCAGTTGATTTTCTAGTTTGAGTTCACTGCATGCCAGGGGAGCTTCCAGTGGACTTTTACAGTAAGGGTGGTCCAGCAACTTAGAACTAAGAATGTTCTGCTTGAAAGATCCATCCTCTTCCATCTGGTAGGAGTTCTCATTGTGAACATTCTCTTCAGACACAGGCCCATCTACACTACTCACAGATTTATCTGCTCCGGTCACTGACAGCTTTACTCTGTCATCACTGACAGTGCTTGTCCGATTTTCCTGATCCAGAGTCATAATTTCTTTTTCAGTTTCTGAAGTGAACCTTTTACTAGAATGATGTTCTGACAAGGGCATGTCATGAATCAGCTCTGTACACTCCCACTTTGGAGACGAAGAAGGCGATTGGTCCCAAGGATATGTGGCATTGCCATTCTGTTGGTCAGGGAATGCTTCATCTAAATTAAGCTCCTTGTCTGGGAAAGGACTTCCTTTAGGGTGATCATCAGGCATATGGGAATTCTTTCCCTTCACTACAACATTGCTGTCCATATCTGGGAAGTATGGCTGATGCTGACAAGAAGGATCTTTAGGTTCTGGGGAAGGAAATGGGCTACAACTGCCACCCTCCGTATTATCTTTAAGGGTCTCTTGGTGGTCCCCAGTAACCTTTTGTACCCAGCTTCGCTGGGCTTTCCTTGGCTTGCAAACTTTGCTTTTCGTTCTGAAGTGCTGGGATCTGAGAATCCTATACTGAAATCTAATCATGGATAACTTCTCATACATCATCAGTGGAGACACTTTTATTCTTCGATGTTGGTTAAGTTGGAACTTTTTTGGAATCAGGGGTCCCCCACTCCTGTGGTGTTCTAGTCCTTGGCAGCAGCCATAACAAAAGCGCTTTCTCTTATGATTGCTCAAGGTGACCACAATCTTGCCACTCTCACCTGGACTTTGGCTTTCCCCAGTGAACTTCATGGGAAACTCAGAAGCCTGTGGCACTGTCCTAGGTCTATGACCATTGGTCTGACCTAATGCACTACTTGCTGGCAAGCCAGAGACTGCCTTTAAGAGACTCTTCTCTCCACAGTATTCATGGTCCGAGTTCTTTGCTGACGATAGTAACTTCTCTGCTTGGAGTTTCAGAAGACTCCTTGAAGAAGAAATGAAGTACTTAGTGTCCTTTCTTTTCACTTTAGAAGACAAAGTACTAGGATTTTGAGTAGCCACACTAGATTTAGTCTTAGCACAAAAAGATTCATCCTGAATCCATGATTTCTGGATTTGAAGAGCCTTCTTTCTACAATGAAAATGACTCAACTGTCTATTCCAAGTAAATGACCTTCCCAACTTAGCATTCAGAATGCATAAGTGTTGGTGAAAGTAGAATTTCTTAAAGCCTCCAAATCCAGTATTCCATTTCTCAGAAAAGGCTAAGTGGATTCCTTTCCTCCATAGAATTTTCCTCTGTTTTTTCATTTTTCTGATGCATAATGAGATGTGGATGTAGCTACAAAGAAGAAAATGTAAAGAAATGTTATGTATCAATCTAAAAGTAAGGTCATGAAGGCATTCACAGAAATGAAGACAAAAAAATTGAAAAAAGAGCATATATATTTCAATTTAACGCAACTGAATAATGAAATCCTACCTGATTGGGCTGGGGTTGTAGTTTAGTGGTAGAGCACTTACTTAGCATGTGTGAGGCACTGAGTTCAATCCTCAACATCATATAAAAAAATGAATAAGTAAATAAAAGAATAATATTGTGCTCATCTTCTTAAAAGAAAAAAGAAAAAGAAAAAGAAATCCTACCTGATCAAGGTTTTAATCACAACGAAAAACTGGGGAAGAAAGAAGACATGAGCACTAACAAGACACCATTGGCCGTACACCTGTTTTGAATAGAAATCAGTTTCAAAAATCATTTCTCAGGACAGAGTCACAGGACTGGGAGTCAGAATTTCTAAGTGATGGCTCTGTTTCTCGTTAACTAAGTGACATTAAGCAAGTCATCCAAATTTTGTGCTCTTATTTATAAAATGAAAAACAGAGAAGGGAAAGGGAACCAAATACCACTTAAGACTAATTCCATGTTCTTTCTTATTTGTTTTTCTGTCATACTGGGGATTAACCCAGGGTCTCGCACAGGCCATGTATATGCTCCACCACTGAGCTACAGGCTCAGGTCCCATATCTACTTATTTAGAATTTGCCCATAGCAAAATGACTTGTTTCCTACAGCAAAATTTTAAAAGGGCAGGTACCTTTGCTCTGTAGAGTCATCTACAGGTAGATACTCCATCAATACATGATATCAGTATCTCAAGAGAGAGAACAGGCTGCTCCTTGCCAGTCAAAGACTCTCTGAGTGATTGTGCAGGAAAAGGATTTCATCAGGTGCTCTCACCCAGTTATTCTGGCTCTCAAGTGAATATAAAGAACAAGAACCAACACAAGCATACACATATAAACTTCCGAAACACGATGATAAGAGATGGGAATGAATGGCAATTAAAAGCAAACACAATTTACCCTCAAGTTAGTAATATCTAACATTACTGAAGGTTTTGGCATCAGGCACTATAGGTGAGATCAAAGAAACCATAGACTATGAATAGAAACCAGTATTCTAATGACAGCTTTTTTTTTTTTTTTCCCAATAAGCTAACAACTTATTGAAAGTTTTCCCAGCCTGAAGGAGAGGATGGGAGAGCAGTCTGGAGTACTTCATTTCTGTGTATCAGTTTTTAATCAGAACAAAAGTAGAAGGATAAATATATGTATCTCAGTTCTTGTTCAAAATCCCACTGAGATGACAGAAATTGCTCTTTTTTCCCCTCCCCCCAAACTCAGGATTAAACTCAGAGCCTTATCCAGGACTTCATGGATGCTGGGGAAGTGCTCTACCATAGAGCTACCACTGAGCTACATCCCCAGCATGGAAATTGGATTTTTTAAAAGGCAAAGCCCCTCAAGGACAAAGACAATAAAAGGGATAAGAACAACAAAAGTTTTGAAAGACCCAAGTAGATGAATGTGTAACAGCAGACCCAATAGGGCAAGAGCTGAAATCTAAGCCAATGGTAGGGAAGACCAAGACGCAAGCTACAGTTCAGAAAGGCTTAAAAATAGGATGAAAATCAGAAATATGGTGGAGGTGAAAAAGGAAGAAGTGGTGAAAAATCTAAAAAAATAGGCGGGAAGCTGGGTGTAGTGGCACAAGCATGTTATGCCTGCTACTTAGGAGGCTAAGGCAGGAGGATCCCAAGTTTGAGGTCAACCTCAGAAGTTTAGCAAGACTCTGCCTCAAAATGTAAAAAAGTAAAAAGGGCTGAGAATGTAACTCAGTGATAGAGTGACCCTGGGTTCAGTACCCCCACCACCACCAAAAAAAGCAATAGCACTTGAATCCTCAGATCTCTTTCCCCTACCTTTGCAAAAAACTAAAGCAGATTAAAACTAATAATAAAACAAAACTATTTATAGATTAATCAAATTTTTAAAACTATCAGAAACAGAGGAAAAGGGGAATTCATGCTTAATGGGAACACAATCTCAATTTGGGAAGATGAAAAGGTCCCGGAGATGGATGGTGGTGGTGGCTGCAAAGTAACGTGAATGTACTTAATGCCACTAAACTGTCCACGTAAAAATGGTTAAAATGGTAAATTATGTATATTTTACCACAATAAAATAAAAGGCGACTTGGGTTGTAGCTCAATGGTAGTTGCCTTGCATATGTGAGGCTCTGGGTTCAATCCCCATCACCATAAATGTACAAAAAATGTTATTTTTTTAAAAAGGAACAATGAAAAGCTATATAAAGCTTATCAGCCAAGTGCATTGGCACATGCCTATAAATCCAGCAACTCAGAAGACTGAGGCAGGAGGATCACAGCTTGAGGCCAGCCTCAGCAACTTAGTGAGGTCCTAAGCAATTCATCAAGACACAGTCTTTAAAAAAAAAAAAAAAAAAAAAGAGCAGGAGGTATATCTCTGTGGTTCAATCCCCTTAAGAAGAAAGCTTAACAGATAAAAGATAACTGATAAGCCAAAAATAAAATACTTGCAATATACACCATGGATTTAGAGCTATAATATTCCTAATACATAAAGAGCTCTTAAATTGAGGAATAAAGGACAAAAAGCCTGTTGACCTAGTAGAAAGATGAAAGAAAGACCTAACAAGACAATTCACAAATAAAATTTTCTAAATGACCCCTAAACATAAGAAAACATGTTCAATGTCACTATAAGGTTGGGCATGGTGGTACACATCTATAATTCCAGTGATTCGGGAATAGGAGGACTTCAAGTTCAAAGCCAGCCTCAGCAACTTGGCGATGCCCTAAGCAACTTGGCAAGACTCAATGTCTCAAAAAATGAAAAGATCTGGGGATGAGCTCAGTGGTTAAATGTAACTGTGTTCAATCCCCAGAACAAAATAAGAAAGGTAAAAAAGTTAATTTACTCATGAGAAAATTGGCAAAGGTCTGGCCATGAAACTGAGTGGTAGAATGCTTGCCTAGTATGAGTGAAGCCCCAGTTTCAATCCCAAGATGTAAAAAAGAAAAAAAAAAGTGAGAGAGAGAGCACGCCCACCAGGGAGAGAGAGAGAGAGAGAAATATTTCACAGCTGGAGAAAAGACATTTTCTTTCTTTGCTGGTGAGAGTACAAACTGATACAATGTTTTTGGAGGAGAATTTGGTAATATTTAATAAAACTACAAAAGTATTTACCTTCATATGCAGCATCCCCAATTTAAGGAATTTACCCTGAAGACATACCTGCAACAATGAAAATACATATGTACAAGACTATTCACTGCAACATTGTTTCTAATAGCAAAATATTGAAAATAACCTACATGTACCTACATAGGATAGTGCTTGAATAAACTATGGCTTATCACACAATGCACGAAGCTATAAAAGAACACCCAGGTTTGGTGGCACAGGCTATAATTATAATCCCAGCAATTTGGGAGGCTGATGCAAGGATGATGACAAATTCAAGCCCAGCCTGGGCAATTCAATGAGATCCTCTCTGAAAATAGATAAAATTAAATTAAATTAAATTTTAAAAAAGCGGGGGGGGGGGGCTGGTAATGTAGTTCAATGGTAGTTCAATTGAAACCCAGGGTTTCAATCCCCTGTATGGGGGTTGGGAGGATTCACTATATGAACTAACATGGAATGACTTCCAGAATATATTGTTGAGTAAAGTTAAGTTCAAATAAGTATCAATAATATGCCACTGTATGGAAGGTGGGCACCAGAAGAATGGAGGAACTGGGAATGAGTAGAAAAGATGAAAGGAAAGGTACTTCTCTGAATATATATACCTTTTTGTAAAGTTCTGAATTTTTAGAACCATGTTAATGCTTCATATACTTAAACCTAATTGCATTTCAAATGAATAACATAACCATACTGAAAGTAAAGGAAAATAATTATCTAAAAAAACTTAAAAAAATAATATTGTGGCTGTATGCTCTAGAACTAAAGACAAAAAGACTGTGAACAAATCTTGCACACTAATTGCTTTTCCACAGAAATATAAGTTAATTCTGAAACCATCTATCTATCTATATTTATTTTGGGGGTGGGATGGGGGAAACTATTTGGGATCAAACCCAGGGTCTCATGCATGATAGGTAAGCACTCTACCACTGAGCTACATTCCCAGTCCTAAAAACATCAATATTCTAAAACTGAATGAATAAGTACATATGTTGTGCATAATTAGAACCATAGATTTCGCTGCTGTAGAAAGAAAAACTAATGATGATCAAAGAAAGTGAAAATGAACCTATGGTGCTACACTGAAATTGGAGGTATCAGAATGAATACTAGTGTTTAATATACATACAGATATGTCAAAAAGATACAGAAATCAACATGAAGAAACTCACAATGGCCAAGAAAACTTTGAGCAACCAAATGCATAATGACAGTGATGGGTTATAATCCAATAATAAAATAAGTATTCTTGAGTTTACAGTGATACAAGAAACTTGACTCAATAAATAAATCGGAAAAATGGGTACCTCTTCCTTACAGAGAATTTCAAATTAGTTAAGTGCGGAAGGAATGATGGAAATAGGAGTTAAAATCTACAAACCCTTTGAGAAGTAAGAGACTCAGGAAAGAAAAAATTATGAATACTAAAATCAGAGGGCGAAATTACAATGAGAAAAAAGATACTTACATAGTCTCAAAGTACCCCCTATAAGACACTTTAAATAGTGTCTTATAAAATTAAATAGCTTTCAATGGAAAAATCTGCCAAACATCCCTGTAACCATGTGATCAAAGTTAGAAGACATATGGACATTATATGCCTCCTGATAAGACACTACATCACTCTTGTGGTATTCTTGTCAAACATGTGTAACCTGAATTTATTCATGAGAAACAATAGGCACTGACTGGCCAAAACTCTTCAAAGGTGTCAATTAAAGTCAAAGAGAAACTATAGAGATTAAAAGACTAAGACTAAAGTTACATGGCAATGCAATATATAATCCTAGATTCAGTCCTAATCTAGAAATGGAAATTGATGGGACAACAGACAAAATGTGAATAAGGCTTGTAGAGTAACAGTATTTTCTAAAGACAATTTCATAGTTTTGATCATGTGCTGGTTATATAATACCATATATATGTATGTATGTGTATGAATGTGTGTATATATATATATATATATTTTTTTTTTTGGCACACATACATATATTTGAGGTATTAAGGATTGAAACCAGGGATGCTCTTTCCCTAAGCTACATCCCCAGCCTCCCCCCCCCCCCCATTTTTTTTTTTTGTTTGTTTTTGGCACTGCAAGGATTGAACCCAGAGTCTTGTACATGCTGGGCAAGCTCTCTACCACTGATCTATATCCCTAGTCCCCTAGTCCTTTATATTTCTTATGCTGAGATAAGGTCTTGCTACATTACCTAGGCTGGCCTCAAACTTGAGATTCTCCTATTTCAGCATCCTAAATGGCTGGAATTACAGACATGTGCCAAAATGACCTGATTTGCAACTGATTTTGAAAGTTTGAAGTTATTTCAAAGTCTGAAGTTTTTTAAAAAGCAAATATTTAAAATTGAAGAAATCTCCCAGAAAGTACCAAAAGACAACAGAGTGAAAATAACACAGAAAGATGAGAAAATTAATAGACCATGCTAGTAGATGACACATCCAAATAAGGCTGAGTGTGGTAGTGCACGCCTGTAATCCCAGTGGCTCTGGAGGCTGAGGCAGGAAAATGCCAAGTTCAGAGCCAGGCCAGCAACTTAGTGAGATACTAAGCACTCAGGGAAACCCACTCTCTAAATAAAATTTTAAAAAAGGTAGGGGATTTGGATTAGAGGTTGAGCGTTCCTGGGTTCAATACCCAGTACCAAAAATAAAAACAAAAAAATCCAAATAAGAGTTTCAGAAAAAGATTAAGAAAGTATAGAAGGAGCCAGCTGTTAAGATGCCTACCTATACTGCCAGTGACTCAGGAGACTCAGACAGGAGGACTGCAAGTCTGAGGTTAGCCTGTACAACTCAGCAAAGTTTTAAAAAACAATTCAGTGAGCTTCAGTCTCAAAAAAAAAAAAAAAAAAAAAAAAGATAAGAGGGTGAAGCTTAGAGGCAAAGCATCCCTAAGTTCAATCCCCACTACCAAAAAAAAAAAATTAAATTTAAAAAATAAAAGGGGCAAGATTCTAGAAATTAACTCACGAAATAAATAGTTTCCCATATTTAGTTTATAAATTTGTACACTGTTCCTTTATAAAGCACTGTACCTCACAACTATGCATGGTATCTGCCAGTCCAAATAATAACCCTTCTCCACTTCAGATAATTCATGTCTGCTAACCTTATTAATGTGTACTCGGAGAGGAAAAAAAGGTCAGATCTGGAAAATTTTTCTTAAAAAGTTCTTCATGTAACTTCTTATATACTTTGTCCCACTTCTACCTCCACTTAAACAGTACGTGAGGAATGGGGATACAGAGCACTTACCTATACACAGAAGGCCCTGGGTTAGACTCCCAGAAGCACCAGGGTAGGGGTACACAAACTGGGTGTGGTGGCACATGCCTGTAGTTCAGCACTTGGGAGACGGGGGGAGTATGGCTTGAGCCCAAGAGCTTGAGACCAGCCTGGGAAGCATAGTGAGACCCCATCTCAAAAATAAATTAAATCAGTTCTTTATTAGTGCATAACACGGCTAATCCTGAAACTTAGAAGGCTTTCTGGCCAAGTGCAGTGGAGCATACCTGTAATACCAAGAGCTTAGGAGGCTGAGGCTGACAGCAACTTGGCAAGACACTGTCTCAAAATAAAAAATAAAATAGGACTGGGGATGTGGCTCAGTGGTTAAGCACCTCTGGATTCAATCCCTGATACCAAAAAAAAAAAAAGAGGATTTCTGGCTGTCTCTGTTAGTTTAGGATTCAGCATTCTCAAGGCTACTAAAACATTACCACCATTTTTTTTTTTTTCTGCTTTCCAGGTTCTGTAACTTTGTTATCCATACTTCCTTTGTTCTTTGTCAATCTAGGGCGGATTGTTTCAATGGCATTTTCAGGCTGGTGCAGGAATTATACATATATGTCCAACCAATTCACCATCCTTAACATATCATATTGTTAAAAAAAAAAAAGTCTTGGGCAATTAAGCAAGATGCTATGTCAAATAATACAAAGGGGGGCTGGGGATGTGGCTCAAGCGGTAGCGGTAGCGTGCTCGCCTCACATGCGTGCGGCCCAGGTTCGATCCTCAGCACCACATACCAACAAAGATGTTGTGTCCACTGAGAACTAAAAAAATAAATATTAAAAATTCTCTCTCTCTCTCTCTCCCCCCTCCCTTCTTTAAAAAAAAAAAAAAAAGAAGCTAAGGTAGTAGGATCACAAGCTGAGGCCAGGCTTAGCAACTTATTGAGACCCTCAGTAATTTAGCAAGACTCTGTCTCAAAATAAAAAATAAAAAGAGGTAAAGATATAGTTCAGTTACTAGAGTACCCCTGGGTTCAATTCCCAGTACAAGGGGAGGGGAGGAGGAGTCAAGTTGCTAAATAATATGTATGAACCCATTTTTGTTAAAAAGGGAAATTATTATGTGTGTTTGAATAGAGGTAAATGCCTAAAAGCTTAGGCCACAGTTCCCCAAATGTAACCTAGGGTTTTGTAGTGATTTCACAAGGGTGCCACAGGATATTCTAAACAAGATGGGAAAATGAATAATAAATAAATAAATAAACTGGAGGGAAAAAGCAATTCAGCATATGGCAAACACTCAGTAAACCACTAGTTCAAAATAGTTCAGTTTAAAAAGTAGATCATGATGGTGCATGCCTCTAATCCTAGTGACTCAGGAGGCTGGGGTAGGAAGAATGCAAGTTTGAGGCCAGCCCCAGCAATTTAGCGAGAACCTATGTCAAAGTAAAAAAATAAGCCATGGGGGGGGGTGGTTCACGCCTGTAATTCCAGTGGCTTGGGAGGCCTAGGAGGAGGCTGACCGCAGGTTTGAAGCCAGCCTCAGCAACTTAGCAAGGCAGTAAGCAATGTGGAGACCTGTCTCCAAAAAATAAATAAATAAATAAACAAAAGGGCTGGGCATGTGGCTCAGTGGTTAAGTGCCCTTGAGTTCAATCCCTGGCACAAAAATAACAATAAAGTAAAATAATTTAAAAAATAAAACACCTGGAGATATAGCTTAGTGATAAAGCTACTGGGCTTCAAACCTCAGTATCATTATTAATACTACTTAAAGTGGGGGGGGTGCGGGGGCTGGGGCTGAATGGTAGCATGTTCGCCTAGCATGTGTGAGGCACTGGGTTCAATCCTCACCACCACATAAAAAATAAACAAATAAAGGTATTGTGTCCGTTCATAACTAATATATATATATATATATATATATATATATATATATTTTTTTTTAAATAGAGTTGGGGATGTAGCTCAGCAGCTGAGTTGCCTAGGCATCCTTGCCTAGGCATTCATGAGGCCCGGAGTTCCATCCCCACTAATCAAATAAATAAATCAATACTACAAATGCCCAGATAGCTCTTCAGACCTACTGAAGTAGGGCATAAGAATCTGAAGTTTTTATTTTTTTGGTGACTTGTCTATGCTGTTCAGGCTGGCCTCCAACTCCTGGGCTCAAACAATCCTCCCACATTAGCCTCCCAAGTAACTGTAAGAGTAGGTGAGACTCAAGTCTGACTTGATGCACAGAGTGCATCTCTTTCCCTTCTCCTCTAATACTTTTGTAATTTGGGTCCATTACACTACAGTGGTGAATATTCTGGGAGGGAGGGAGAGGGGGAGAGGTAACTCCTCAAATTAACTTAAAATTGTAATATCCAGTCACTAAAGAATTCCAGTTCCTGAATAGACTCTCTCCACATTTTCAACGAACATGAAATGTTGTAGAGTGAGGGGTCTTCAAAAATAGTTGCAGAGGATTCCTTCTAAAGGGGACAAGGTGTAAACAAAGGTCTTCCCAGCTTTTCTCCTGGTAACAGCCAACTGAGAAAAGCTATCTTGAGTAAAGAGCAAAATTGATTTAAGTCATCCTTTTCATATACCAATGTTTGATCAATAAACACAAAACATCTGAGTAGGAGAGGGTCTGTTTTTTTCCTGAGACTGCCTATGCAAAGTACAGATTGCAATTAGGTTCTGGCACCCTTCTCCAGACCAAACTTAGTTATTCTGGATAAAAGGAAAAATATAAACAAAACAAAACAAAAAACGCAATTAGGGACTTACCATTAGTACCATTAAGTGTCCTCTTCTCTTAGAACCTCTTTTCAAAGGAGTTTAACTGGACTCCCAAAACATTTCGTTTATTCTCCTAATTTATATAGTTTAAGAAACCCCAGTTTTAACACGCGAATTACAATTACTACCAAATGGCAGGGTAGGATTTCAACTCAGCTCTCCCGATTCCAAGTTCAAAACTCCCACAACCTCTACAGCATTTCTCCTCAGAGTGGCCACACAGTGGATCGAAGGTTGATACCGCCTTGCACAGATGGCACAGAAAAAGCGGGTTCCCTCCACCTTAATGTCCAAGTGCCATAGCCTTCCTCTAGAAAAGGGTCCCAAGAGCATGGGCCAAGAAACCAAGGCAGGGACGAGGCAGAACTGTCCGAAAAACTTAAAGACCCTTGACTTGCAAGCTGACAGGGGCTGGGGTTTCTGACAGCAGTCTTCCTCTCAAAGCCTTCCCTAGCTTCAGGAAGAGCGGCGGGGGATGCTAGCTTTCTCGCTGCCTGCGTCGCAGGGCTTGGGCTGGAAAGAAAGAAGGGGAAGCAGAGGTCCCTCGAGACCAGCTCCTTCCCCGTCCCTAGAAGACCCAGTGCAGGGGAAGAAACTGCTGCCCTCAGCTTGAGGCGGGGCTGGGGTGAGGGGAGTTTGGCGCTTAAGGCCTCCGGGCTGGGGCGATGAGCTGGCGCGTAGCGGCTCGGTGAACGAACGGTCAGGGATCGATCCGTCATTCGGCCGAGGGCCGCCCGTGCTCCCGCTTACCTGCGTCTCTTGCTCCAGGCACCTGGCCCCCCCACGGCTCAGACGCTGTAGCACCCAAGACTGCGGCCTCGCCTTCGCCAGCCCAGAGGGAATCACCGCTAGGGAGGAGGTGCCCGGCCTGCTCCCGGCGGCCACGGGTGCTGAGCTTCTCCAGAGACGCTGCCGCGCCGCCGGCGCTCACTTAGCGCGTCACCTCCTCCCGTGCCCTTCCGCCTGCAGCCCCGCCCGCGCCTCGTGCAGGGGGCGGGGAAAGCGGGCGCTGGCGTGGGGGCGTGGCGCCGTGGCTCCTGCTTCTCAACAGCCTCCCACTCTAGTCCTTAAAGGCTCCTGGCGCCTCAAGGATATTTCTCTGCTTATCCCTCTTTGCCCAAAGCAAAAAGCCATGTTCCTGCTTTGGACTGCACTTCTTGAGGCCTAGCCTAGGCGTTTTCTCTCGGATTTGCATGCTGATTTTACTTTTGGTATTGTAATTGCCTCTTTATGTATACCCGACCCTGCCCGACCAAGAATGCTTCCCAAGGAGGACAGAGTCTTCTCATTGTAGCCTCAGTTCCAATGACTGGCCTACACAAACATAGGAAATCTGTGCAGTAAATCTGCTAGCCTCTTTCTTACAGAGAGGAAAGTGACGTCAGCCTTCCATGCTGAAGCATTATTCATTCAATAAAACTTTTCCTCCTGCTGGGGATTGAACCCAGAGCACCCACATACTAGGCAAGTTCTCTATCACTGAGCTATATTATCTTATCTCCAGCCCATCGATATGCATATGAACTTATTCTAGTGTTTCTCTTGCAAGACCTCAATCTAACTGTAGGGAAAGAGAATAAATAATAATTCAATTGTTACTGGTTCAGTGGGCTTTGTGCATCAGAAAAATCAGATAAAGGCAAAACTACAAGAGGAACAAAACTCTCCTGGGACTTCTGCTCTAGCAGAAGGAAGACATAGCACTGACCAAGAGAGTGCCAAGCTGGATTTTTGAAGAACATAGCTAGTTTTATTCCTATAAAAGTGTAATAGAAGTGGATGTCGCGATGGGCAAAGGTGCGACTTATGCAGTGGAGGGGGAGAAATAAAGAATGTCCATGCACTTCTGCTCTTTTCAATGCTTTATTTACTCAAATTACTCCATACAATTTCACTCTATAGGTTCTTAATCAAGAAAATGACAATCCTTAATGCTAGGCACTGAAATAGACATAATCAATTCATAGCAAACAATTCTAGGTTAATTCTAAGCACTGCAAACACACTTATATGACAGGCTCATCATAGAAATTCCCTCTGCATACTAAGCTCAAGTGCCAGATCTAAAGTCTCAAGCCTTAGGCCTTAAGTCCAGCAGATGCACACTCACTCAGACCACAGTGATCAGGTCAGGAACTGATGGAGACTTCTCCTGGGGTGAAGCAGATGGCCAGCTGAGGAGAGGGTTGTAAGAAGAAGTGGGGTTCTCACTAGGGTCAAGATGTGGCTGTAGAGTTTGAGAATGGTGAGGATGCTGCAGAGGCTCAGGCAAATGATGAGAAGAGTTGGGATGTCAGTCCAGGTCCTCATCAAGCTCTCTGGCATGTGGGCATCAGTGCCAGCTGGATGAATGTCTGTTCATTTGCGCCATCATTTATGCTAAATTTTGGGGTTTCTGACTGCCCTTTCAATTCCTATCAGCTGTTACCAGGTTTCTCAGGACATCTGGTCTTGTGGTTTTTGTTCGATTCTCTTGCCTAGCCTTTTGCCCTTATCAGGGTTGTGGAAAGTGACTTATTTTATCAGGCTATGCCTGATGATCATATTGGAGGGCTCCGTATGTGTGCCTGGTGGGGACAGCAATTTATTTAAAAATGGAGTTATTTAGGCTAAGGCTCTTTTTTGGTTAAGGCAGTCCACCCCCTTGATTCACAGTGTCCACACTCAGGGGGTGCCCAAAGTGGGCGCTGCTAATCAATACGGAGGCATTGCCTATTCCACTGGCAAAGGCCAGACTCCACATATGTCCAAAAGACACTTCTCACCATGGACTGTTATACTATTCCATAACCACCAATAGTGAGCATAGTCCAATTACATCTGTTTGAAACAAGATGGTAGCAAAGTGGTAGCAATGTAACCAGGGATGGTAATTACAATGTAATCATAATTAGTTTGTACAATTGGGTTAAAACATTTATAAGTTTGTCTTGCATGTAGGTCTCAATGGACTGTTTCCTTTACCTTTTCCCAGTTGACCACAATCGTCACCACCAGGTTATCAAATGATCACATACAAATTGAGTCCAGATATTGGCTAAAATAAAAGAACGTAGTTGGTCCCTCTGGATTAACACACATAGGTGTTACAATAACTGTTTCTGACATTTTGTTTTCATAATAATACAAACTTCCATCTTCAAAGACAGAGCCTAGTCTCTCCTGAATCCACCTTTGTTCTATCGATTCTTTCAGATCAAAATCCTCATGAAGCACTCTGAGGTCTGGGTCAATGTATTGCCATAGGTTCGCACATGCATATATTGTGGAATAAGGGAAATAATCCTGAAAGTTTTGAATTCTGATTTTATTTTTCCTAGTTTGTTCCAATATCATGTCTTTTTTAGAATTATATGTAAACTGTGGACATTGTGCTGGGTGTGCTGATATTGGTTGGGTCCTGCTGTTAAGATCAATATTTCTGTCTGGGTATTATGCCCTGTAGTACTTATTCTGGAAAATATGCTTTATTCATAAAAAGTACATATTTGTAAGAGTTGCAATTTGGTTTCTTGTATCTAATGAGAAGGGTAGAGCCTGTCCTATTAGTTGGATCAGGGAGTAGTAGAATAGCAAAATGTGGTTAATATTATAAAAGGTAAATGGCTCAACTTTAAACTTTTGTGGAACAATGTCAGTGGATGCAAACATATTATGTTCTAATAGTACTATATTATCTATATTTCCTACAAAGATTCTAAGTTAAAGTTGTGAAAATTAGAATAGGTGGGGTTATTTGATTTTTAAAGGTATATAAAATATGTGGGAATTTATATGGGTATATCCACCCCCTCCCGGCATAAGCTTTGTGTGAAATCCAAGGGCCTAGCAACAAGCACATTTCTGATGTATATACCAGGAACCTACAATGTTGTATATGAATTATAATGACATGACCTTGCTTTACATTTCTAGTTATACAGTCCAGTAATTCCTGATAAATGGTCTTGCTTTCCATTGTTTCCAGATCCTCTTATATCCTAAGTATTTTAGTTTCCTAGTGAATCTATTATGAACTATCTGCCATAGAAATTCAATTAAAGTATATCTATATGTCACTTCAAACCTAGTAGCACACAGCAAACTTCTAAACCTAAATTTAATGTTATTCACCAACAATTTTGCATAAATCATAAGGTTTGTTACAATCAATATAATTCAAAATGCTAGCATAAAGAGGAAGATGGAAGTTATTTTCAATTAATGCTATAAAATGATATTCCAAGTTCCACAGTTCATGTTTCAGTGTGTCCAGGTAAGTGTTGACACAGACGAGTGAATTCAGTGTTCTCTTTGGTGGGTATGTCCAAGTGAGCTGTAAAGTGTAGGTAATATTTGTATATGTTATGTTCACTTCTTTATTATCAAACATGATCATAGAGTGTTCACACAGCCATCTAATATTCGCTACATGTTTCTTAAGTTCTTCTCTGGTTTTAATTTCTTTATTCCACTTTGCACACATTCTAAATTTTTTAAGACTATAATAAAATATGAGTATAAGTGAATAGTGGAAAATTTCTTTTAGATCTTGGAACCAGTTTGGAATGTGCCAGCACACAGTGTCAAACTTGAGGAGCCTATAGCATAAATCTGCTCAAGAATAGCGTCTATTGACTATATTATGTTTATATACTAAAGAATCTGTTTCAAGTACATATACTATCTGTGAAACAATGTAGTTTGTATTATTGTGCTATATCCTGTGTATTTGAGCTATATCCTGTGTATTTGAGCATCCTGTCTTTGTAGTTGTTCTATATTATGTTCAACCTGGTTTTGAAGTCGCTTCATATGTTCCAATTGTATGTCTGGTTTATCCTCATCTTCATCAAATACCATGTTAGTTTGTAATGTGTGTTTCATCTGTATCTGTTGGTTTGAGAATGCTACTATATTACTACCAGATTTAGTGTGTAATGTTAACTTCTATGTGTTGGATACCATATGGCATCCTGCTTCATGGGTTGTTTTACATTCACCAAAACATATATTGGTGTCAGGATACTCATAATAATTACAATAACATTCATTATTGGTGCTGATCTCAGATATATTTTGTGTAGTTGTCCTTGTTTGTGTTGTTTGGTGTATATGTTTATATGGATAAGTTATGCTGAAGGTATAAGATGCACAGACTGCAAAGAGATTATTTCCCAATTGTATAGATCTTGTATCTCATTAGATACAAGAAATCAAATTGCAACTCTTCCTGTGGGTCTGTTATGGTAATCTTAGATCTATGTAGTTCATGATGGTTTATATTTCCTAAGAATAGGTAAGTTAATATGTCAATTGGTATTACTGACTCTTCTGGTAACATTGTTCCATTTAAAATAATGCCTGATCTTAATGGCTTTATGAAAGTGTTCCCTATTTTTCTATATAATGTTGGTCCATGATATGCTGTGTATGTGTATGTAAACAAAATTTTTAGTAAGGATAACTTACAAAGTGTTTTAGTGCAGTATGTATCTCTACTGGGGTGTAGTATAATTTTATACAAGTTTGTATGTTCACCCTGTACTGTATTAAGTAAATGTTGTAAATCTGCTCTGGATTGTTCTTGTAACAGTTTCAATTGTGTACATTCATATTGAACACATATGCTATTGTGTTCATCTTCATATCCATTTTCTGTATAAAATCATCATAATATTATTTTTGGGCTTTTAATGTCTGAACTATAGTTTGCCTCTATAATTCAGCTTAATGTATAACTTCTGTGATTGTATATATTGATTTATAAATCATTTTAAGCCATGAATTCCTTTATCTCTAATGTGTTCTGGAGCTGTGATTCTAACATCCATATCTTCTATACGTTTTTCATTAACAATTTCTCCTAATGCTAGTCCAGCTATAGCTATCCATTCTAAAATCTCTCTTGTTCTCCTGATGTGTTGTCTCTATATTGTTGGTATGTGCCATGTTGTTTTCTGTGGGCATC